ACTAAGTATTTGTGATATTCTATCCTTTTTTGCAGGTATGGTATTTAAAAGGGCAAGCAATGGAGTCTGCTCCACCCCTAAATTTGTCCACCACAGTCAAAGTGGTGGAACTAAAGGCCATAGTGCCAGAACTAGAAACCCAAGATTACACAGTGGAAGGTGAATTGGTAGAGGAGATAAGTGGCAGTGTTGAAGATGAAGGGCACTCTCTGGCCATGGCCTCAGGGATGGAGGACCATGAGGAGATGGGCCATATTGAAGAGACCAAGGAGAATCTGCTCAACGACTCCAAGGAAGTAACGACGAAGGAAGAGCCACCCGTCATTGAGAAGGAATACAAGTGCTCAGAATGTTCGTTTACTTTCTCACGGGCCAGTCAGCTACGTGCCCACGAAAGAACTCACTATGAAGAGCAGGTGAGTGTTTCAAAGGAAGTAGTGTATGTAATGATAAAGAGATTTCAGTCATTAGCTGGAGATTATATGTGCTGTGGAAAAGAATGATGATTCAATGGAGAGTTGGAAATATTTCATGGTACCTGTCCTATCATGCAGTGCCTTTATCTTTAACCCATTCACGCTGGGTGTCACGTATACGTGACATGCCCACTGTGAGTTTCATTGTTTAATTGTTTTTAAACTTAGATGGCTACAGTTGTACTTGTACTGCCTGTCTCACCCGTTTACCCTTTTCTTTAAGGTTTACAACATTATAGTAATTATAATATTTATAATAAAAATAACCATCAATATTCATAGCACTAGTAAAAAATACATTTTACCGCCAAATGAAATCAGGTAAGGCAGAGCCATCTATGAGTAGAGACATTTCACAAAAAGTATAAAAAATTAGCACAGCATTTTTCCCATTTTTCGTTCATCTTTCCCCGTCGCAAATGGGTTAAGTTTATATTTTGTGTGTAAGGGACCTCATATAACAGTATATTAAAAGTAATGTCAAGGCACTTCTTTTTAAATATCAGAATAATGTAGCTGTGTGGTAAGAATCTTATTGAAAGAGTTACTAGGAAAATAGAGAGAATGTAAAGTTGGAAGCATTTTTTTTTTTAATCTCTGGCTCTTTAGTATTTCATGTATAATTTAGAATTCAGCTCATTCTCTTTTCTTTACTTTACAGGCATATGAATGTGATCAATGTGATGAAGTCTTTGTACGCATTGGCCTATTAATGAGTCATCGTAGGGGACATCACCGTCAAAATTTATCTTGCACAGAGTGCGATGCAAAATTCAATAACTATAATAGTTATAGGGTTCATTTACGAAGCCACAAAGGAGAGAGGCCTCATAAATGTTTAGATTGTAATATGTCTTTTGTGCAGCAATGCCATTTGCATATTCACCGGAGAGTACACACAGGGGAGAAACCATTTATGTGTGAGATTTGTAACCAAGGATTTAAGCAAATGTCACACTTGACAACACATAAGAGGATCCACACTCAAGATAAGCCTTATGTATGCACACTATGCAATGCCTCTTTCTCTCAGACCAGTAGTTTAAAACGGCACAAAAGACGACACACGGGAGAGAAGCCTTTTAAGTGCGACATATGCGGTGCCCTCTTTGTTGAGAGAAGGAATCTTATAAGACATCAGTTAACACACTCTGGGGAAAAACCATACAAATGTGAATTATGCCCAGCATCTTTTACACAGATGATTGATTTGAAGCGTCATCAGATGTCACATTCAGGTCTGAAGCCGTTTAAATGCGATATATGTGAAGCAGCATTTAGTCGCAAGAACAACCTCCAATGGCACAAACTGACCCATGAAGGAGATACCCCATACAGATGCGAGAAATGCAATGCTGGTTTTAGTCTCCAAAGGGACATGAAGGCTCACATGAGAACACATACTGGATCCAAACCATTTAGTTGTGATAAGTGCGAGTCAACTTTCTCTCAGTTTAGTACACTTAAACGCCACAGACAAAGCCACACAGGAGAAAGACATTTTGTGTGCTCAAAGTGTAATGGAGCTTTTAAGGACAAGAGTGCTTTGAAAAGACATCAGCTTAGACACGAAGGAGTGAGACCTTTTGCTTGTCAGAAATGTGACTCCACTTTTATGGAGTACCGGAATCTGAAAAGACACAAAGTCACAGTTCATGGTGAAGAGCGATTTGAAGGTGGGGATAGTATGATGGAGCCCAAAGAAAGTGAGAACATTCAAAACATTCCACCTCTCAAGAAAAGGATTGGAAAGCATGACAGTGAAGAAACACTGAATGAAATGTATAATTCAAACTATGCATCAGCTTCTGTTGTACAGCCACAAGAAACAGGTCATCAGCAACAGCAGCATGTCAATCAAGTTGTCTCGTTGCCACCATTGACACCTCTTCCACAAAGTCAGCCTCAGGTACATACAACAACTACCTTACCTTCTCACACACAAACTCCTATGGTTAATGAGATTGTCACTATTCCTGCCCAAGCTCCAGGGCAAATGCCAACGCTGATGCTCACTCAGCATGGCCAACCCCCTCGACCAGGGAGACCAGCTAACAACTGTCAGAATTATCAGTCGCATGTACTGACATACGTGGAAGGGAGTTTTGGTCAGTGGCATTCATGGTGCTTTTGTGAGACTCCAAACATTCCTAATGGCCCTCAGAATATCATTGACGGCACAACAACAACTGTAGCGACTCACCCTCCTGCTTCTACTGCTTTATCTGCAGCACCATTACCCCAGCATCAGCAAGTAACATACACAGAACTCCAGCAACCACAAACACAACAAAACCAAGATACTGTAGGTGTTCAAGAGGTGACACAAACAGATTATCATCAAACTCCACAGTATCACACTAACTATCCGCAACCAATCCATCATTATGAAGAAAGCCATCACCCAGACCCACTAGACCAAATAAGCCATCATCAACAACACCATCAACCATCTCATCACCAGCAGCTTCATCAATCACATTCTCACCAGGAGGATGGTAAGATAAGTTCTGAATCTCAGGTATTTGCAATACCAGGCATTCAGCAAGAGCAGCAAGAACAACAGCAGCAGCAACAACAGCAACAACAACAACAACAACTACCTTACCTTCTCACACACAAACTCCTATGGTTAATGAGATTGTCACTATTCCTGCCCAAGCTCCAGGGCAAATGCCAACGCTGATGCTCACTCAGCATGGCCAACCCCCTCGACAGGGAGACCAGCTAACAACTGTCAGAATTATCAGGTCGCATGTACTGACATACGTGGAAGGGAGTTTTGGTCAGTGGCATTCATGGTGCTTTTGTGAGACTCCAAACATTCCTAATGGCCCTCAGAATATCAATTGGACGGCACAACAACAACTGTAGCGACTCACCTCCTGCTTCTACTGCTTTATTCTGCCAGCACCATTACCCCAGGCATCAGCAAGTAACATACACAGATACTCCAGCAACCACAAACACAACAAAACCAAAGATACTGTAGGTGTTCAAGAGGTGACACAAACAGATACATCAAACTCCACAGTATCACACTAACTATCCGCAACCAATCCATCATATGAAGAAAGCCATCACCAGACCAACAGCAGCAACAACAGCAACAACAACAACAACAACAACAACAGCAGCAGCAGCAGCAGCAACAACAACAACAACAACAACAGCAGCAACAACAGCAACAGCAACACCCACAGCCGCATCAGCAACAGCAGCAGCAACAACCACAACAACAAGACCAGCAGCAGCAAGAATCCCAACATCACCAAGAACATCAACAACAGCAGCATCACCAACATCACCACCACCACCAAGAGCCACAACAACTGCAGCCACAACCGGATCAACATCAAGACTTATCAGAACCTCAGGCTGATCCTCAAGTGACTTTCCAGTACAGTTTAACAGTGAATAATCCAGCTACTGGGGATATCCAGATCCAAAGTGAAGCATTTCCGGCCAATCCTCCTGACACGCCCCCTATCAAGAAGAGGCGTCTTGCTAAAACCCACCAGGAGCCTCATGAAGCTCGGATATATACTTGCACTTCTTGCCCAAAACAATTTACTAGAATAAATCACTTGATTATTCACCAGAGAAGGCATACTGGAGAAAAACCATACCAGTGTGGTGTGTGTCTACAGGCATTTACACACAAAAATAGTCTTACAATTCATATGAGAGGTCATACTGGGGAGAGACCATATAAATGTGCAACTTGTGGGTCATCATTCACCCAGAAGAGCAATTTGCGTGTACATAATCGAACACATACTGGTGAAAAACCATACCAGTGTGGTGTGTGTCTACAGGCATTTACACACAAAAATAGTCTTACAATTCATATGAGAGGTCATACTGGGGAGAGACCATATAAATGTGCAACGCAGCAGCAACAACAACAACAACAACAACAACAGCAGCAACAACAGCAACAGCAACACCCACAGCCGCATCAGCAACAGCAGCAGCAACAACCACAACAACAAGACCAGCAGCAGCAAGAATCCCAACATCACCAAGAACATCAACAACAGCAGCAGCAGCAGCAGCAGCAGCAGCAGCAGCAGCAGCAGCAGCAGCAGCAGCAGCAGCAGCAGCAGCAGCAGCAGCAGCAGCAGCAGCAGCAGCAGCAGCAGCAGCAGCAGCAGCAGCAGCAGCAGCAGCAGCAGCAGCAGCAGCAGCAGCAGCAGCAGCAGCAGCAGCAGCAGCAGCAGCAGCAGCAGCAGCAGCAGCAGCAGCAGCAGCAGCAGCAGCAGCAGCAGCAGCAGCAGCAGCAGCAGCAGCAGCAGCAGCAGCAGCAGCAGCAGCAGCAGCAGCAGCAGCAGCAGCAGCAGCAGCAGCAGCAGCAGCAGCAGCAGCAGCAGCAGCAGCAGCAGCAGCAGCAGCAGCAGCAGCAGCAGCAGCAGCAGCAGCAGCAGCAGCAGCAGCAGCAGCAGCAGCAGCAGCAGCAGCAGCAGCAGCCAACAAGACCAGCAGCAGCAAGAATCCCAACATCACCAAGAACATCAACAACAGCAGCATCACCAACATCACCACCACCACCAAGAGCCACAACAACTGCAGCCACAACCGGATCAACATCAAGACTTATCAGAACCTCAGGCTGATCCTCAAGTGACTTTCCAGTACAGTTTAACAGTGAATAATCCAGCTACTGGGGATATCCAGATCCAAAGTGAAGCATTTCCGGCCAATCCTCCTGACACGCCCCCTATCAAGAAGAGGCGTCTTGCTAAAACCCACCAGGAGCCTCATGAAGCTCGGATATATACTTGCACTTCTTGCCCAAAACAATTTACTAGAATAAATCACTTGATTATTCACCAGAGAAGGCATACTGGAGAAAAACCATACCAGTGTGGTGTGTGTCTACAGGCATTTACACACAAAAATAGTCTTACAATTCATATGAGAGGTCATACTGGGGAGAGACCATATAAATGTGCAACTTGTGGGTCATCATTCACCCAGAAGAGCAATTTGCGTGTACATAATCGAACACATACTGGTGAAAAACCATTCAAATGTGACATGTGCGATGTTTCATTCAGTCAGGGTAGTCATTTGACGGCTCACAAACGAATTCATAATAATGAACGGCCATACGCATGTGACAGCTGCCAACAAATGTTTACACAGCGTAGTGCTCTGAAACGGCACATAATGACACATACAGGTGACAAACCACACAAATGTGATGAGTGTAGTGCCAAATTTTCACAGAAAGATGATTTAAGAAGACACTTAAAGGTTCATACTGGAGAAAAGCCAATCATGTGCTCATACAAGCATTGTAATATGAGTTTCACGGATAGAACGGGTCTGACAAGACACATAAAATCTGTACATTGTGAAAAACCAAAGTTACCAGGAGATGGAAAGAAAAAGAAAAGAAAGAAATCAGGATCAAAATCATCCCCATGCCCAAGTAATAGTCCAAAATCTGTGAAAGGAGGAAAGGTTAAGGCCTCAACTGTGGAACCAACTAGGACAAGTAGACGTCTGCGAGAAGCAGCAGAAAAGAAAAAGGTGAAACCAGAGCATCCTGATTTTATTATGGGTGATTTTATAGATGTGGATGAAGCAATTAGTGAAGCAAAACCAGCAGCTCAGCAGAAATCACCAAAGAAGATAGCTGATAAGTCTCAGGAAACTAAACAAACTGAAAAGGCAAGAATGGAGTCTTGGTGCTTTTGTGAGGTACCTCATGGCCCAGATGAACCTCATAATCATGCTGGAGTTGAAACTAAAACTATGAATGATTTAACTGCCAATATTGTTAATAATGATAAAGGATGTACATCGAAGATAAATGAGAGTGATACTAACACAGATCTAGTTGCAAGTGCTCATGCCACTGGTGCAACTTCCCTACTTCAATTGTCAATGGAACATGTAGCTCATGGTTCAATTCCTCCTAGTACTATTAGTGAGGGCCTGCAAGAAGCCACTGGTGCTGTGACCATTGATGCTTCATCTTTAGTAGTTCCTCAGATGGAAGGAGGACCACAAAATGTAGTTGGGTCCACCAGTCAACCAGGAGTTGCTTCAGTCACCCAAGCGTCTTCATCAGTTGGGCAGAGTGTAATGGGTGGCCATGTAGTTACTGCCATAAGCCAGCAAGGTGCCCAAGGAAGTGGGCGATTAGTCAGTCAGCCAATGATTAGTGGGCAAGTTGTCACTGCTGGGCAACTGGTTGGTACTAGTCAGTTGATGACACCAGAGGGTACAATCTACATTGAGGCCAGTGAAATGTTAAGCAATGGAGCAGTTGTGATAAACCCTGGCCAAGGCACCTATATCAGCTATGATCAGATTACAATCGGAGCAGATGGTCAGGTAAGAATAATGTAGATATTGTTTGTAACAAAATCATAATCTTACTGAGTATACAACCATAAGCATTTTAACATCCATTTTCCCTGCATGCAGAGTTTGGAGAAGTCCTTTGCTTGTTCTCCCCTATTTCCTTTAGTCCTGAGCATCATTGGAGCAAAGGCTGTCTGGCCTTCATGGCCTTCCTCCTATGTCATTGAGGCTTACTGTTTTAGCAACTAGCCCCACTCACTTTACTGGAACTGTTTCCATATCCAGCTAATTGCCCTGTCTGCAACAGAGTTTGGTCAGACTGTGAGAACAACCAACTTGCCTGCCTCATTGACTATGTTGCAATGTCAGTATAGTGCTACTATTCGTAGAAGCCACCATAAGTTTTACACCAATGTTGTCAAAATTACATTCTGTAGACATGACCTCCCCTATGAAGTTTGTATTGACCATATCAACCCCTCCCCTGTCAATGTCAGAAATGTTGGCATTTTGACCACCCTGCCCAGCACTGTTGTTCTGTAGTCCACTGCTCTCTATGTGCCAAAACTGGCCATGATCATACATACTGCCTTGTGCAATCACACAAGTGTGCCAGTTGTGGTGGCTCCCAAAATGTATTTATAGGGACTGCCCTACCTACAAGTTCAAATCTGAGGTAGCAGTCCTTTGATTCAAACTTGGCCTCACTTTATGCAAAGTCAGGCAGGAAGTATGCTGACATTGTTTTTCTCTTGCTCCCTACTCCAGTGCTATTCTTTGCTTTTCCCTTTCCCCTTCCCCCAAGATGTTTCTACATCTCCCCCAGTATCTCTTCCTCCTATTCCTTATGTTCCCACTTCTACCCCCTCCCTCTCCCAGTCAATTAAATTTTTATGTTTTTGCTATTCTAAACCTAGACACTCCAGTCTCTACCACTTCTCCAGTGCCTACCCCTACTCTTTCTCAATCTACCCATCATATCAGACAATCTAAACGTTCCACCCCTTCTACTGTATCCTCTCCTACACCTACCTCTTCTTCTCCTTCTCAGATTTCTATCTCCTCTTTCCCAATCATGAACAACAACAACAACAACAACAACAACAACAACAACAACAACAATAATAACATGATGTTCTCCCTCATCCATCCTCTCAGCCTCCTATTCCCTCAACATTCAAAGTGACTGCTGACTTCCATCCTCCTCCTAATGGTCCCCTTACACCGCCATCCCCCCTGCTCCATTTACACCAACCCTCCTTCCTTCCTTGTTTTACTAATCCTTGCCGTGCCCCATTTTCTCATTATCTTTATCCTTTTCAATACCATACTATCCTAAACTGCTCTATGTCTTGAAATATAGTACATATATGGTACATATATTTAACCATATAGTACGTATATTTAACCCTTTTTAACTTTTTATCCTTCTCACTACTATACTTTTTTATAGTGCTATTTGACCTTTCATTTGCCATTCCCTCTGTTTCACAAGTTCACATCATCACAGTGTGTCACATTCAAGCACATCTATTCTTTTAACATGAACATTCCTGTCACTTCCTTGCTCCTGCCAGCAAATCAAAGTCAACTGTTTTGTTTTATTAAATCATTTAAAAATGGATGCTTTAGAGACAGTTAGTCACTAAGGAATGAATTACCCTATCATGCATGTTCACCATATTTCTTGAATTTTTGGGAAAATAGTTTTTATTACTATTGTTATTGTTATTAATATTGATGTTGTTGTTGTAAATGTTATCATCATCATCCATTATTAGTATTATATTGTTATTGCTGTAATTACATCATAAACAATAATAATACTAATAAAAACAATCCTTCTAAAACTTCAGGGAATTGGGTAAATAGGTGAAGTCAGGTATGCCTATTATTTGAGAAAAAACTCAGTCAAAGTTTCAGTCAAAGTAGGGATTCAGTCAAAGTAGTCATGGAGAAAAACTCACATCATATTCAGCAGATAAATTTATAATCCTATTAGTGTGATTCTGATTTTTTTTTCTTTCTTTCTTTGAATACATTAAGAAACCATTAGTGTAATATATACAGCAGTTTAGGCTTTCATTTGAAGTCTTCCTCATGATTCTTTGTAAGGGTTTATATGAAACTCTAAATATTGCCTTTACGGCTTTCATTTGAAGTCTTCCTCATGATTCTTTGTAAGGGTTTATATGAAACTCTAAATATTGCCTTTTTTTTTGCCTAACTGTTTGTTTGTGTGTGTATGCATATGTTGATATGTAGCACTCTCAGGATGGAGATGGGGTTCATACAACATGGTTAAAATAATGATTACTAGTGAATATGGACTTTAATATTTTGGATAAGGATAATTTCTTGCAGCATTCTGTAAAACAGTAAGATGATGTTTGCTCATCCGTTTTATCTTACCATTCTTGTTACTCTTAACCCATTCCCGCCAGGCATGCCATGCCATGCCCACTGTGAGATTACTTGTTAGATTGTTTTCACACATAGACGGCTACACTTGTACTAAATCACCAATGAGCCAGTTACGATTATTGCCCGTCTCGCCCGTTCACCCTTTTCTTTGATTTACGAAATATTTTACGTTATCTTATTTTGCTGTTACTAATGTTAAAAAACATCATAATAATTCTAATGTTTATAATAAAAATAACACCATCGATATTCATGACACTAGTGAAAAATACGTTTTTCCTGCCATTTCAAATCAGGCACTAACAGAGCCATATATGGGCAAACATTTCACAAAAAAAATATAGAAAATAGGCACAGCACTATCCCCATTTTTTGTTCATTTTCCCTGGCGGCAATGGGTTAAGGATAATTTTATGGTGACTAGATTAAGGATTAATATGACTTCCATCTTTTAAAAGTAAATTTAAAAACAAAATCCATTCTGTTTCAGGTTCTAAGTGTCCCAGTAGGTGGCTCCACAGGAGAAACACTAATGATCCAACCTGCTGCAGGCTCGGATGTCACTTCAGGCACAGGCACTATTACCTATACAACAACACAGCTAACAGAGCCTAATGCTGCCCAACCTATCCAGTACACAACTCTAAGTAATGATGTTATTAATCTCTTGTCACATGTGGACTCAAGCAAAGAAAGTACCAGTTCAGATCTGACAACAGAAAAGGCAGTAACAGTTGTTGCCAAACCCCTAGATTGCTCGGTATGTGCTAAGTCCTTTGCACAAAAGCGTACCTTATGGTCTCATATGTTGGAAGCTCATCAGGATTTACATTGTTGTTCAGAATGTTGTGCAGCATTTACCTCGCCTGACTATCTTAATCAGCATAAGGTCCAACACCAGAAACTGCATGTGTGTTCAAGATGTGGAATGGCATTCACAAACAAATCATCACTAAACAGACATAGACAGCAGATGCATACAGGAGCTGCTGCTGCAGTAGAGGATAAAGTGTTTGGTTGTGGATCATGTGATGCCAGGTTCCACCAACAATGTGACTTGAGAAGACATGTGCTAGGACACACTGGTGAAAAGCCTTACAGATGTGAACACTGTGATACTGGATTCACCAGAACATCAAGCCTTAATAAACATATGAGAATCCATACTGGAGAGAAGCCTTATACATGTGAAGTGTGTGACCAGTCCTTCTCTTATAGGTATCAGTTTAACAGACATAAGATCACCCACAGACAGGATGACCAAAGAAGTAACTTTTCTGTTTCATATGAATTTCAGGAGTAATTTATTGTATGTGAAATAATGTGCATCAGCAAGAATTAGCTCAGTTAATTGTTGAATTGCTGATACTTATAGGTAACCAAAGGAGTAAGAGTATTATGGGGATTTAAATATACCAAACAGTAATTAGGATTAATGAAAATTACATGAGTGGGAATCCCTTATATTCATTCAGAATTAGGAAGATCATGTCCCTGACCAGTCATGCATCCAGTCTGAAAATGCATCTTTCAGATATGCCATTTATCAGTAGAGGTACCACTGGTACTGTGGCCCACCATAGGGTAGAGAGAACTATCATTACCATCATATTATTTTATTCATCTTTTCATTTTATCACTTTGTGCAATTTGTATGACACTTTCTTTTGCCTGGATTTTTGTTCATTTTAGGAAGTAACTATTGTGTGCCCATTTCAAATTCAGATTGTGTAGCCATACTGAGAAGTAGATGCAAGCAATTTATGTTTCATAGAGATTATTTTTAGTGTATTTTGTTTACTGTATTACCAATATTTTATTGATCTATTCTCTTGTATATTATAATTTGTAATGAAAATTGTATATTGTACAAACTATTAACTGTAAATGTAAAATGTTAATATAGTGAAGAGTATTAACCAAATGTAAGGTTACTTAGTAACCATTGAGAGTAGGCTGTATTTAAAGATGGTTTTCCTTTTTATAAAGACATCACTAGATAGTGTATGGATAATCTTTGTGCATAAACAAATTAAAATGAAAGTCAGCTGAAAGTTTATTTTATCCTTTATAGTGTTGTCATATAGGATTTATGCAGTGGCATGGATTGGAGATTCGTATCCACTCATTACCTTTGAAAGTAGGTAAACTAGTGATTTATTTAGCTTGATGTTAACTCAGGCTATTGTAATTCAGTAGGATGTGGTACTTTAACAGTCAGTTATTGATAGTTGCTGTAAGTAACTCCTTAAGGATATTTTATAATTTGCTAAACCATTCACCAACTAAACATACTGACAAACAATGCATATAATTATTATATATATTACTTGCTCAGGGGATATTATGTGAAAAAAAAACTATTCTTTTTTCTCTCATTACTTGAATGACAAACCCAACATCCCAAATAAAACAAGAACAAAGTAAAGGAACAATGATGATATAATTACATACGGCAGACTGCAATAAAGCTAAATACTGATATTTATTCATTAATTTAACTGAAACAAGGTAGTTTTATGACAACTATGAGCAAAATTTGGAAAAAAGTGAAACCATGGACTAAATTTCCATTTTTTTTACTCTGATTAGATGCATGTTTGATTGTAAATAAAGAAAAGTACATATTTTATCCGAAATTAAGACTTACATTGTTCTTTTCCCACTATATGGCAATTACTTGTTATGATACTGGGCTGACAAAAAATAATATCTGGGAAGAGCAGCAGTACAAACAAACTGGAGAGAGAAAAATGTTAAACATTTGAACTAGAACCCAATGGTGTATTACAGAATACATAATCGAATATAAAATGTTACAGCATTCTGATGCACTATTTATTAATATATATATGTATTATTCAACATAATGGCCAAAAGTTCATACTGGAATACTGCTATTATTGTACATGATTATTTGTCTTTTATTATCACCAGTACTATAAATCTCATAAAAAGGAAATAAACAAAAACTATAGATTCTATACAACTATCACCTTCAGTTGTGATTCATATGATTCACCTGTCGATCTTAATAGGGAGGAAGACAGAAGAATGGAGTGTGTGTTAAATTCAAGAAAATGAAAATTAAGCAAAGAAAGAAAGAAAGAAAGAAAGAAAAAGAAAAAAAAAAAAAAAAAAAAAAAAAAAAAAAAAAAAAAAAAAGGGAAAGAAAAAGGAAAAAAAAAATGCATCTATTTCCAATTAAAATCATAATTCACAATAAAGGTTAAAGAAACGATAACTTAACCTGCTGGTTGTATTCCTCTTCACAAGAAATATTAACAAATATTTTTACAAAATGCTTCCCTATTAAAGTAAGGCCTAGGGAGAGCACGAGTGGCAACTTATTCTATCTGGGTGATATTAATGCTTCTGGCATTTAGCACACCAATGGCAGAACTCATGAGCAGCTGAGGTAATGAGTAGAGAGCGCCAGAAGCTCGGACAGAATACATAGAGGAAACCCATAATTTTTTCAAGTTAAAATTATTTTGCTGGTAAATTTCTTACACACCTTAGTCTTTGTTTTGAATGGATATCCTTTCTCTTTAGAGTCATTATCATTATCATTACCCTGCAAGCCATCAAACCTGCTGTTTTATGACATTAACCACAATGTACTTACCCTCAACACTTTTTTTTCTAACCTCATCTAGATATCTGCAGGTGCTCAGAGAAATAACTTTTTGTATGTGTTCTGAATCTTCAAGAAAGTTTTAAGAGCAAATGTTGCACTGCATGCCTCAAGCAACATTCCATGCATAAAGGACAGATGTGGGGGAGGGGGAAACTAGCTCTAACCAGAAACTTAATAATGAACATGAATTCTCAGTTTCACTCATAAGTGTGCTGCTAATGTGCTGTAAAAGCTTCAGACAGGACAAGAATACTTTATTAGGAAACTGCTGGCAGTTTTTTAAGAAAAACTGCTCTCCATAAAATCTTACCAACATAAGCAAAAAATATAGCAGTCCCCATTTATCATTATTTCATAAAACCACATTTTTTTTCTACCTCATCTAGATATCTGCAGGTGCTCAGAGAAATAACTTTTTGTATGTGTTCTGAATCTTCAAGAAAGTTTTAAGAGCAAATGTTGCACTGCATGCCTCAAGCAACATTCCATGCATAAAGGACAGATGTGGGGGAGGGGGAAACTAGCTCTAACAGAAACTTAATAATGAACATGAATTCTCAGTTTCACTCATAAGTGTGCTGCTAATGTGCTGTAAAAGCTTCAGACAGGACAAGAATACTTTATTAGGAAACTGCTGGCAGTTTTTAAGAAAAACTGCTCTCCATAAAATCTTACCAACATAAGCAAAAAATATAGCAGTCCCACATTTAATAACTTATTTCCAATTTAAAAGATGAAACTTTCAAGAAACTTTTATACAAATATCAAATGACAGCAAAACATTATGAAAATTGAGCAAGTAATACTATACAAATCTTGTTTCTCACAGAGAAGCCTTTTGCTGCAATTTTCTTTACTCAGAGGGCAAGCCAGCTGCTACGCCATACATGTGTGTAAAGCAAAAGATAGAATACATAGTTATATGATGTCACTGCCTTCACAAACCTGAGTCTTGTATTTGTCTGATCTTTTCTATGTCATAATGGATATCACCTATGAAGACTATGATGTATGGCTGAAATTACCTCACAAGATGCAACTTAAATCCTTTTCTTTCAAAAAATTATTAAGGTTAATCCAGACTAAAAAGTCATAAATGGGGAACACAAACAGTAGAAAATATTGTTTGATGGAATCCCTGTAAATAGTTCAGATAAAACTTTCCCACTATCACTGGACAGTGCACTACCAGCTGATACCAGTGTCATGTCAATAGCATAGGACAAGGTAATTAAAACTCAAATTCTTTTTACCTCTTAATAGTAACATATTGAATCTGCATGAAAGCAATCTCACACACATTATATACACAAAGGAGTGGCAGCATAGGTGTTTGAAGCATACAACCACATAACAGTTAGTGCTGGTCAGTTACCTGCACCAAACACAGGGTCTCCTAACATGTATGAACTCAGGTTTTGATATATGAAAATCTGTAATCGACTTTCTTTGGACAATTTCGAGATAACAAGCCACTGGAAATCAGCCCATAGCTTAGCTGTGCACTTAACAAGAGATTTCATATTCTAAATTAACTTATAATTTGTTAAAGAGAGGGTACAAGTATAACCTAATCCCAAGTCTGACTGAAGAGAAACTCTGCAGCGAGGTTCTCATTCTTCTCACAGGCAAAGTAAGCTTGGATTACCACATCTTCAGGAAAATTACCTAGAGCTTTCAGCTGAAAAGGAAAAATAATATGATTAGTCCATATTCTTCATAAATTATAGTTCCAATTATTGAAAAAGCATATTTCCAAGGAAAGTCCAAACTGTGTTTTCGGTTATACATTTTCAGTTATCACATAAACACTAGCTGTAAAGGCATGCAACTCCTATAACCTATTACTTTTCTGATGATAATTTGAAATTAAATGCACTACACAAAAAAAGGTTTAGCAGCTTCGTATTCTCAAAGTTCACTACAAGAACGACTTAAATCAATAAAAACAAATTACAGGAATCAGAGACCTAACAGACTGTACTTAACAGCCAAATATTCTAAAAATTCTGCTTTGTGGAGTCTCTCTCTCTCTTCTTTGCATGATTCAGGACATGTGAAATTAATGTTTTGTTGGTTTCGTTCTCTGAAGACACAGATTGTGTGTGCAACTGATGGTTCACTTTGTGCACTAACAAACATATACCTAACTTTTGAATAAATATTTTATATTTCCAATTACGAAGGGCTCAGAAGGGGATCCTGTACCTCCAACTAGTTTAAGAACCACTGACCTAATATCAACCTTACACAAATATAAAGGGAAGAGATCTGGAGACTGGATTGTATTTCCTGTTACTTGTTAGATTTTGAAGCAAATGGATATAGACAACCTAAAGCACCTGAGACCTGTGCTAGGGAAACCACTGCTAAATATCCTACAAACAACAAAGGATGCAATATATATTTACCCTTTCAATGGCATCTCTATCCTGAGGGGAAACAAGGATTGCATTTTGTCCAGGAGCAGCTCGGCCACCACTGCCATCACCACCTTGATTACCACTACCACCACCTGTGCTACCACCTGAAATGAAAGTGAGTGGACTTGTGTATAGATTAATCTTTGTTGCATCATATGATAAGAATACTTTACAACAATTTGGATTAAAATATATTCCTTCATATTATGTAACTATTTTGGATAAATAGGCATATCTTGAGCTCTTCACACTATATTTCTTATATTAATGGATGTAATATCATAAAAAAACATCCAGCAGTTTTTATGACCTGGCTAGTGATGAATCAGGAGTCCCTAACTTGAAAAGCTATATCACAAATAATATTCTACTGATGTAAACCAGTTATACAAAACTATGGAATATCTTAATTTCAATGAGAATAATATACATCATATTTTTACAAACAGATCACAAAAATAGTGAAAAAGGAGAATGAGACAAATATAAGAAAAACATGAAAATATGTAGATGAGTATTAATATCACCATGGTTAGGGTTAAGGTTATGTGTGAATGTATGAAGAAAAGGGAATAAGGAATAGGAAGATAAATATAACAAGGAGAAGGATAATAGGAAATAAACATAAACAAGATATGAATAAAACAAAGAAAGAGAGAATAAAAAAAAGTAAGTCAAATAAAACCAAAGTACGCTGATAAGTGCATTTTGGAGTGTTTGTTTGAAGACCATTTACAAGCTGTCAAGATACTATAATCCATCTGTTATCCAAAAAACATTCATAATTCAGTGCCTAAGAACCACATCAAAGGAAAAACAAATGAACAACATTCACCAAAAGGTCTAGTGCTTTCAAAAGAGATTTGCATACCTCCAGAACTGCCACCTTCATTCAGCATACGCACAAAGGCCTCCTGGTTTTGCTGGATCACCTGAAGTAGCTGCGGATTTGTTTGGCCAATTTGCTGGATGAATGCATCCAGCAATGATGGATTGGACCTGGAAAATTATGTGCACTTATACATATTTCATTGGAAAAATCTAGATTCTTTGTGTTGGGGCTTCTTCTTTCCGCTTATGACCACTTTATTTACTTCAGACACAACACATTTCTCACCATCCCAAAATGCAACTTACCTAATCATTTGTCGCATCTGCTCAAATTGAGGCTGCGATCGAAGGAAGTTTAAAGGATCCTCTGTAAAGTATAACATGGCAGAATCAGTACTGAATTAACACAGACTTCTTCCCATCCACTAAATTTGCTTTTGCTCTTTTTTCTACACACATACCTGCCTCAAACCATAGGCTCATCTTCAAAACAAAACAAAAAATGCCTTCAATATCGACATACACTCGGCCAAAAGTCACAGGATAAAATACTTTTGTTCTTTTTACAACTTTTTGATGTTGCCATTAGTTCCATTTACACGTAACTTTTTGTTGCCCTTACCCTTGTATATTGACACAAGAAAATCAATTTACGTAGTGCATAACATGGGGGAGAATTGTGTACAAGATCTCCCCCATTTTCTTCTCTCTCTTCTCTCAAAATGGTAGTAAAATGGCATCTCAAAATGGGTTTAAGGTTACAGAAATATGTAACCTAACCTACTCTGCTGGATAACAGAATGGACAATGTAAAAGTAGTAGTAACATATTGCTCTCTGGCATAGTAAATAAGTTTAATTGGTTTTATATCCAATGTTAGACAGTTGATGGTAAGAACTGAAATGCATTTTAAGGTATCATGTTCCTCAATCTAATAGTCATATCTTTTTTGTTCAGGTTTCAATCATTTGATCATTAATACCTTGTATCTGATGACCATCCAGACATTTCCTTGGCTCAATCCTGTTAGTGTGCTAGATGCCAGATCAAGTCTCAGAAGACTTCCAACTTTAAGTTAGAATACTGGGTTCTTGCTCCGGGTGGTGCTCACTTGAAATGATAAAAAATCCATCTTTTCCCTTAAAGCCTTCAGATCAGCTTCATTTTCTGGATTTCAAATGAATCCTGAGGACCCTTTTTGGGTATATCAGGGTCAAAGGGATAATAGAATCATGTGTGCAACTGGTTATCAGGTGACATCATGCACACTTAGTAGCCCAAGCAAAACACTTTCATCTCCCCACATCAAACATGATTGTACTACCCTAATGCTGCAGAGACACACTGCCAGGCTGCAGCTATGCACATCATGGGATGGTTCCTCACCATATGATTCTTCTGTGTCAGTTTGAAACAACTTCATTCCCATCAAATCAACCCTTTTGTGTGTTAATATTTTGTAGTTGTCTAACTTTTTCAAAAAAATAAAAGCAACCAAATGAAAAACAAGTGGTGTCAGGGGTGACCTGGAAAAAGAAGAGGACAGGCTGATCTAGAAAGTTTTACACAGGGAACAAAGGAGGGACCAATAAGTTTTGACAAGGGGAAATGAGGAGGGGGGTGGCATTATGTAGTACACAATTTTTCTTTAAAGTTTGTTTTATCTTTGGGAAATTGTATTTTTTGTTTATGTCTTAATTCTTTGAATGTATTGTTTGTTCTAATGATATGAGGAGTCTGTGGACACAAGGCAATTTGTTTTACAATTATAATTTGTGGCATTAAAGAGTTAGAGGGGCAGCTATGGGGCAATCTACCATGGACGAGGAGATGGTGGACGAGGAGAGGGTGGGAGGAGAAAAAGAAAGAGAGAGGATGAGGTGAAGGTGAGAGGAGAGAGAGAATGAGAGATGAGAAAGAATGAGAGAGGATGAGGAGAGGGAGAGGGTGGGAGGAGAGAGGGAGGGAGGAAGAAGATTGAAAATAAGAATCAAGCAGGAAAGGGAGACATGAGAAACTAAGAAAAGAACCAAATGGTATAACAGAAAATGACAACATATGTAGACAAGACAGCAGGAAGAAGAAAAAAAATTATAGTGATATAAAATAATAAAAATTAAATGAAGAAAAAGAAACACAAGGAATGTAGGAGAAAATGAAGAAGGGAAGAGGGGTGTCCATAAAAAAAAACAAAAAACAAAACAATAATAATAATAAAATAAATCAATAAATAAACAAATAAATAAAACAAAAAAATGTGGGGATGAAAAGATCCAGGCGAATCTAAATTAAGAGGGAGATGATGAAGATTAACATAATTAACTGCAACTGTACCATCGGGATCTGCCTCTCCCTCTGCCACAACTTGCTCCTCTCCTCCCCCATCGCCACCATGTGCTGGCTGTGCGGCTGGCTCCTCAAGATTTGGGGGAATTCCATCCACTAGGTATTGAACAGCCGTGTACGGATTATTGAAGCTCGCCCTCAATGCACGTTCCACCTAGATAGGGGGGGGAGCAAAGTTGATCATCATCAATAAAAATCCAATCCAGCTGAAATTTGATATACAACAAAAGCCAAGGATCATTTAAATAACAATAAATCTTTTTATTCTGTAATACATTATTTGCTCTCTGCATGTAATAAAAAAAAAATCTTAAGCCATTACCTTAACTCTAAAGGAGATTCATATGAACTTTGAAAATCTAGAAATTGATCACACATTCTAGTAATAATAACTGGAACCAGTAATAATACACAATTATACACACAAAGACTTCTCTCTAACCTGCGACCTCTCATATCCCATTTCCATAATGTTCTCTACCATCCTGTTGAACTCTTCACCCATCACCAGCAAAGACTCTGCACTTCCCACGGACCTGAATCAAAGTTTAGCCTTACTGTTAGGAAAAAAATAGTTGTCAATATTTCAGATATTATAAATCAATACATACATTAGAGAGAGAGAGAGAGAGAGAGAGAGAGACAGAGAGAGAGACAGAGAGAGAGAGAGAGAGAGAGAGAGAGAGAGAGAGAGAGAGAGAGAGAGAGAGAGAGAGAGAGAGAGAGAGAGAGACAGAGAGAGAGAGAGACAGAGAGAGAGAGAGACAGAGAGAGAGAGAGACAGAGAGAGAGAGAGACAGAGAGAGAGAGAGACAGAGAGAGAGAGAGACAGAGAGAGAGAGAGACAGAGAGAGAGAGAGACAGAGAGAGAGAGAGACAGAGAGAGACAGAGAGAGATAGAGAGAGAGAGTGAGAAAGAGACAGACAGACAGAGATAGAGAGAGAGAGAGAGAAGAGAGAGAGAGAGAGAGAGAGAGAGAGAGAGAGACAGAGAGAGAGAGACAGAGAGAGAGAGAGACAGAGAGAGAGAGAGACAGAGAGAGAGAGAGAGACAGAGAGAGAGAGAGAGAGAGAGAGAGAGAGAGAGAGAGAGAGAGAGAGAGAGAGAGAGAGAGAGAGAGAGAGAGAGAGAGAGAGAGAGAGAGAGAGAGAAAGAGAGAAAGAGAGAAAGAGAGAAAGAGAGAGAGAGAGAGAAAGAGACAGAGAGAGAGACAGACAGAGAGAGAGACAGACAGACAGACAGATAGACAGATAGAGAGAGAGAGAGAGAGAGAGACAGAGAGAGAGAGAGACAGACAGAGAGAGAGAGAGAGACAGACAGAGAGAGAGACAGACAGACAGATAGAGAGAGAGAGAGAGAGAGAGAGAGAGAGAGAGAGAGAGAGAGAGAGAGAGAGAGAGAGAGAGAGAGAGAGAGAGAGAGACAGAGAGAGAGAGAGAGACAGAGAGAGAGAGAGACAGAGAGAGAGAGAGACAGAGAGAGAGAGAGAGAGAGAGAGAGAGAGAGAGAGAGAGAGAGAGAGAGAGAGAGAGAGAGAGAGAGAGAGAGAGAGAGAGACAGACAGACTGAAAATGCCTTAGTTTTGACATAAAAGCAGATTCTAACTAACCCCCCTGATGCTGCCTGCGTGGCTGGTGTGGACTGAGTGTTGGAAGCTGCTGAAGACTGGCTGCTGGAAGTAGTGGTGGTAGTAGTGGTGGTGTTGGTACCTGCTGCAGCTGCTGACTCTGTGGAAGGTGTACTGGTACTCTGGAAAGATTGTTCCACCATCAAACAGTGTGCATACAGCCATCAGGTTCAAA